CAATTAAAATGATCTACCTTCTCTGATGTGATAGATTCACTCAATAGCAAATTATCACTCAATCCCTCGCCTATATCTATTGCAACTTTTGATTCAATGCTCCAAGATTCGTTCGCGATACAACAACATATGGACTATCTAAGTCTATCTTAATTAAAATCAAAGTCTTTCAATATCGTTTACCACAAGGAGCTTAAAAACGCATATGATAATTTGCCCAGCCCCAATGTAGTTTTATCACCAAATCTACACAACTAAGCTTCGTAACAACTCCATAGACAGATTCTTTATAGACAGTAAAAAAAAAAAGAGACGAACTTTTAACTCACCAATGGTACTTAGCAGCAACAAGAACTTCTTCGTACTTCTCTGCAGCATTATCCCAACTCAAATCTTGTGTCATTCCTCTTCTCTGAAGCCCTTCCCAACTCTCCTTATACTCTCTATATGTCAACAAACAGTTTCCCAAGGCATGAATCAGCTTACCCGTTTCCGCGCTGTCAAACGTCCAACCAAGACCTGTTTCACTGTACGGGTCAAACTGTTGTACTGTATCCCTCAACCCTCCCACGGCATGGACCACCGGAATGGTTCCATAGTTCATTGCGTAAAGCTGGTTTAGACCACACGGTTCGAATCTCGAAGGCATCAGCAAAATGTCTGCACCAGCTGTTATTCTATGAGCTGTTTTAACCGAGAAACCCACCCATCCCCGTGCTTTGTCTCGGTATTGATGCTCCATTTGTCTGAGGACTTCTTCAAGATCCGGTCGACCTGTGCCTAGCATAACCAGCTGAACATCTTGACTCATCATCCATGGAACCGCCTCAGCTATCAAATCAACACCTTTCTGGTGATCCAATCTTCCGATAAAACTGATCAGCGGAACATCAGGGCGAACAGGTAAACCGAGCTCTTTCTGCAATGCAGCTTTACATTGGGGTTTACCAATGTGAAGATTCTCGACGGAGTAGTTGGTATACTCATCAGAGTGCAAGTGAATATCAAATTTTGGGTTCCATTCTTTTGTATCAATACCGTTCACAATTCCTCTAAATTTCCAGTCGTTTTCGTTTATGATGTTATGTAGACCCCAACCTCCTTCTACGGTCTTAACCTCCCAGGAATATCCATGGCTAACAGTGAGAACTCTATCCGCAGCTTTTAGACCAGCCGCGAAAATGTTGAAGTGCTCACCTCCCACAGGGTCATATAACCTGAAGCTATCCAAGTAATGGCTCGGTAAATCCACGTAGGAGAAATCATCTACCGGCCCCCGACCCTAATTTGCCACCAGTAGGTTATGCATAGATCTCTGGATATAAGAATAAGTAAATCATTTTATGGAAAATTACTAACCTGGTGAGCAATGTTATGGATTACAAGAACAGATCGGGTGTATTTCATTATTCCGTGATCTCGGTAATAGGCTTTCAGGTAAACAGGTAGCAACGCAGTGTGCCAATCATTTGCTATGAAAGCCAAATTTCCATCTCCATAACACACACCTCCACAAGGAACATACCAAGGAACCTGAAAAAATTCCCCCGAAACCGAAATTGGTATAAGAAGAAAGCAAAACATTGATTTACGCCCATGATCTTGGAGCAGAGATTTACCTCAACAGCAGCCTTGCAAAATAAAACCATCCGCTTCAAGATATCCTGGATTCACAAAAACACAAACTTAGTTCATGTAGGCTGAAAATGATTTTCGGTAAAGGACAGGGAGAAATAATCTTACAAGTCTGTTTCCACCGTAAATGTTATTACTCAGATGCCGAAACACAGGGCTATCAATGAAAACAAAATCCACACCATCGATATATGCATGGAAGTACAATACTTCCATATCCTGCAGAAAAGAGTGCTCCATATGAAATTTTCTTTACTTCATACATTTTTGTTAAGGAATTTTGAGATGAAAAGAAAAGAAAATTCCGAAGTTGATACATTAACAACTTTCATACCTGCCCGGCCACCTTATATCTCTTTCGCACCCCTACATCTTTGGCTTCGGCATACTCCGCATACCGAGGAACCACAACCTAACAAGAAGAAAAAAAAGAAAATGATTCCCTAACAAGTTCAAGTTTCGAAGTCCATAACCAAACAAAGAGCTTATTGACAGAAAAAGGCACTCTATGATAAATATTACCATAACCCTATGTCCACGCCGAGCCAAAGCCTTCGGCAAAGCACCTGCTACATCTCCAAGGCCACCTATAAAATTTCTCAGTCTCAGTTTGTGTATGCCAAGAGAAGGCTACTTATGCCACGAGCAAAACAAAACTCACACAATCGAGCAAGGACAGATAACAAATGAAATAGTACCTGTTTTCGAAAATGGAGCACACTCTGCTGCTACCAAGATCACATTCATGACATTTGCTCCAGCCAGTGGAGGTGGCTTTTCTCTGTCCCACCCAGGTTCATTAGTTTCACTACTAGCCAGTGCTGGTTCAAGAGTTTTTTCCTCTTTTGTTTCCATGTAGTCCTCTGTCTTTACAGTTGATGTTTCAGATGTAGTAGTCAGGTAAGATGGTAGTGGGTCTGACCAAAATGCACCAGCGTGAGATTTACTCGGCTTTTCAGGAGAAGTTATAGGATCAGAAGTTTTCTCAGAAGTGGTCACAGTAGAAGATGGTTTATAAGGAGGATCTTGACTGGAAGCTACTACGCTAGACCAAGGTTTCCCATTACTGACTGCATCGGATGGTTTCTGAGGAGAGGTTACAGGGGAAGAAGATTTCGCAGACGCTGAGCTTTGATTGCTTTTCCTCAGGGATCCGCTACTAGGAGATAAACTCTTAGCTTCTGGTTCTTTGTTTAAAGATGACTTGCTAGTACTGCTTGGACTAACACTACCGTTTCCGTCTCCATCCATCTTTTCTTTCTTAGTTGCATCGACATTTGCATTAACAGAAGAACCATACTCTTCTTTGGAAGAAGCTTTCCCATCATCCAAATTAGGTGTGCTCTCTTTTATAGACGAGACCAGCTTCCTCCTTTCAGCAATCTGAAGAGTAACAAGATAGTTAAAGTGAAAGAATCCTTAAACACAAATGTAAAAGAACAAATCAATAGATTTAACCCTTGAAACTACTCAAGAACAGCCTCCAAAGCAGATTAGTATAGAATTAAGCATCAAGTTCTGTCACAAAGCAATTCATTGAACTAATTCTCACATTGAATCATTTCCAAAAGCTACAGTTATATTTTGCAAGATAAAAAAATGCTAAAAAGGTACCTTTACCAAACTCAGGACTCAACTAAATTCCAGATAATGAAAAAAATTGAGACTTTGGCAATAAAGTTCAAACGAGATCAATCAAACTCAAGGATCGATACCTGCTGAAGAAGGCTCCTTTGCATATCAAGAACCTTCTTGCTCTTCTCAATGGTAGCTTGAAGCGCATCTTCCTGCTCATCACCACTTGCAGTTTCGGAAGAATCTGGACCCGTAGCCTCAACACGCCTCACACACTTCCATCGATGACCCAAAACGAAGCTCAGGCCACGAAATGAGAGCGACCCAGAAGGGAAATCAGGAGATGAAACTCGAACAAGACTCGAATTCCTCAACGTAGACGAATTGACGCGACGATGACTCTTGATTTGACACAAAAGAGGGAATGAGCTCTCAGCAACTGATGCCATTTACACGTTCGACGAATTGCCTCAATGAAATTACAAAAAAAAAAGTTTCCTTTCTTTATGAACAGATCACACACAAACACCGACAGGTTTCATTCGAGTGGATTGTGAGTTATATTTAGGGCGGCTATGAGGAATCAAACAAGAACAGAGTCTTGTCTCGTGTGAGAGAGAGTTTTTTGCCCAAATGGGGCCACAAAGAGAAATCACCATAGACTCAATACCATCGCGTGATTCATGAGAATAATATGGAAAAACAAAATAGAAATTGATTATTCTCAAAAGCGATTAGGCAGATGATCTATCGCCACATAATTTTATTTATTCCTCGAGATTTCACAAGAAGAAATCAGAGTCGTCCAAAATTTCAGATATCAAGAGACTAAAATTGTTAAATTTTTTTTTTTTTTAAATAAAGTACCAATTAAAAAAATCATGTAATGAAACTTTTCATTTAGTCATACTATGTTTTTAACTTTTAAATAGTTTAATTGGTTTAATCATGTAATAAAAAATCATATATTATATTGTACGAACAAAATATGTTAGAAAGTGAATGCTGATGGAATATTGAAACTTTTGATAAACTGATTAAATATTGGGAAATTGGACTCTATATTACTCACTGACTCTATATTTAATTATCTAACATCAAACAAAATAAAATTTAGTAACTAACATTTCAATTACTTGAGATTCCAATTTTACCTTTAATGTAGTTATGGTAAATGATCTCATATCTCATTTTCATTATTATTTCATTTAATACATTTTTTCTATATCAATTTTTTTCTTTCTCATGTCCAAAAATAATTAAAGATAACTAATATTTTTATGTTTTGCATTATTAGAAAAAACAAAAACTAAACGTATAGACTTGTTAACAAAAATAAATGTATAGACTTTTTATTTCTATTAATTA